CTGCATAGACTTGTTTTCTCGGAACTAAGTATCTAAAGGCAACTATATAAAAGATGTGGCTCTGGTGCGACAAAACAACTTGTTGAATTGACTTACCGAAAAGTCCAGCCGAAGTTTTGGATACATTTTTAGGTTAATCGCAGTTCGGTTATCGCATTTGAATGAAATAATCACTTTATATAGAAAACTAACTGCAATAAAATTGAATTCAGCAGAATAGTCTTTTTCCAGAAAACTTTAGCAATGGAGATGAGCAAAATGTTTAGCATATCGTATGGATAACAATCGATCATCTCGAAGAGCTATCAGATGCGTAAACTCACCAAAACTTTTGATTTATTTACTCGAAAGAGAAAAATGCAATGCGATGCATTTTCATACTGTTACGTGCGAATGTCAAAATAGACTATTTATCAAATTTTCTTGAAATTGATCAAGTAGATCCGAATATATGTGATTTCACCTAAAGGTGGGCCGTGCCATGCCTATCCTCCAGTTTTGTCACAGGCTCCTATAAAGTCTTCTTTTCCCTAACGCATTTGGTTTTATCGGACTTTTAGTAGTTTTTAACAAAAGCGGTGGGGAGTGGGCCTGGTTATAAACCCATTTCATCCATTTTCACATTATCGCAAGAGGTGTCCATATAATTTCTCCTGTGCTAATTTGGCAGATGTAGTGTGAAGTGTTTGGGAGATACGTACACAAACTATATTAGGGGGACGAGGCCATGCCTACTTTTTAAAAATTCTCAAACCACATATGCTTCTCCTTATTGTGATTGGTTGTACCAAAATACAGTTTTACAGTGCACAGACAGACAGACGGACACACAGTCACCCGTATTTCAACTCTTTTCATCATCCTAATCATTAATGTATATATATCGGTATATAACTCTATATCTAACTCGATTAGTTTTAGGTGATAAAAAGAACCGTTAGGTGAACAAAACTATTATGCTCTGTAGCAAGTTGCAAGAGTAAAAAAGCAAACGATTGCCAATTTTAAATAAGCTCCCTTTAAATGAGTTGTACGCAATATCTTCTGTTGAATGAATCGGAGTAGACCCTCACAGGATTTATAATTTCTAATGGTGAGCTTACCCGCTCATTTAGAAATTATACCACGAGAAACGTCTCGTTCTCAAAACATTCATTACTAAGCTTGTAGATAACAGCGCTATTGAAGATAGCCTTAAAAGTCTCTCGGTGAAATTAATGGGGGACACAACTCGAATTGAGCGGAGTGAACAAGGAAAGCGTTCCCACGACAATCGGATCTGGCAGATTCTGTCCAAAAATAGCTTAAATGACTCCAACAACAGTTGAATTAAAGAGTATGCATGGAGTTGAAAACTGTCCGGTTAACCAATTTAAACGTGGTCGTACTAGGCTTGCCGCAACCATACCAGAAATCATTGAGCAAGCTCATAATATTGTTAGTGAAGATTCAAGTTAGACTAAGCGTGGAGTTGCTAATACCATAGGCATCTCAGACGAATGAGTAATTCATATTTTACTTGGAGAATTACATATGAAAAAGCTGTTTGGAAAGTTAGTGCCGCACACGTTAACAATTCAACGAAAACTGGATCGAAAACAAAGCAGCATAATTTGGAGCGTTTTAAGCAGAATAAAACCGATTTATTGCGTCGTTTTATAACTATAGATGAGACTTGGATCTATCACCATGATCCTAAATTGAAACAAGAACGTTTACAGTGGATTGAAGCTGGTTGTTCAGCTCCAAAGCAGATGAAGTCACAACGATCAGCAAAGAAGGTTATGGTATCCGGTTTTTTTGGGAAGCAAAATGAATTTTGTTGATTGATTATCTGCAGAAAGGTAAAACAATCAACTCTGAGTATTATTGCAGCCTTTTTGATCAGCTGAATGAAAAAATTCGTTACAAAAGACCAGGTTTGCGGAACAAAAAAATAATTTTTCATCAAGATAATGCACCTGCTCACAAAGGTGTTTTAACAATGACAAAATTCAACAATTAAAGTACGAATTGCTTGAGCATCCAAGATAATGACCAGATTTGGATCCCAGCGACTACTACCTCCTCAGAAACCTGAAACAATTCCTTCGTGCAGAGCGTTTTTCCTGGAATGAAGAAGCCATTACAGTCGTAGACAGGTTTTTTTTCAGAGCTTCCGGAAAGTCATTGTAGGGATGGAATAAAATTATTGGAGCATCATTGGAATAAGTGTATTGAAGTTAAGGGAAATTATATTGAATAAAAAAATATATTTCGTACCAAAAACAGTATTTTTTAATTTTGAGCGCTGAAACTTTTCAACCAACCTGTATACTATATCATACAAAATAGTCTTTCTATTATACGGGTATATTTTTGTTTGTTCTATTGTACTTTCTGAAATAGTATTTTCTCCAGAATGGGCATAGACAGTCGGATTTTTAGAGCATCTTGTCATAATATTATACTAGGATTATTTGAATCTATAACTGATCATTGTGATTTATTTGTTTGTATTATTAAAATCTGGCAGTTCACGTTAAAACTTTTATGGACAAACTTCAATATGATAAACCCATTTATGAATTGTTTCATGGTGTCTGCTCTATCTACATTTTTTTAATGACGAAAAAATTCTCACTTTCGGTTTACATTTCGGCTTGAGTCGAGAAGTATCACGAGTATCAAGGGTAAAGTATGAATAACGGTTCGGAAACACTACGATTATTCTCAGTGCTATTAGTTAATATGTAGGACATTTGTCAATGTTTCTTTAGTTGGTTTCCGACAACTTTATTTGAGCAGTCGGAACTCAAGGGATTTACAAATTTTAATATGCATTTGTTTCCTTTCGTTAATTACTTGAATTGGAATATTTTGATGGACAAGATTCGGAATATTTATATGTTATTGATTTTATCTAGAATAATATTGTAATTTTCTGTATTGTACCTACCCAATAGCTTGGAGACAGCGCCTTGTTGCGTCAGCATGTGTTGAGCCAAATCGTAGCCACGCAAACCGAAGCGAGAGAGTTCCAGGAGCCGATGCTGCGACACTAGAGCATTGAGCGTTGAATGTGGTGCCGGATGCGCATTTCCAAAGATGCCACCCAAACTTGGAGCATTCGCAATGCCCGGCGGTATAGAGGCAGGTGGAGCGGCTGGTAGTCCCACTGCAATGAAGATAGGAAGAAAGCAAATGGTGAGATAAAGAATTGAAAAAAAAAACGAAATAAGCGATGAAATTGCAATTACGAAGAAGATTTGACAAAAAATGTGTCAGTGCGCTTGCAATTTGCTAAAGTGTGAAACCTTATAGGCCACCAGAAGCGACGCGCCTTTTACTTCACTTTTTTTCCTGATGTTTCGAACAAAAGTTTAATTTGCTTTTACGTGGAATTTAAACGAGGCATCACACAGAAATTCCGCACATTGCGCGCCAACACCAACTCGCTACAAATTTGTTCCGTTGCACTGTCAACACAATTGTCTTTGAAGTTGAAGTTGCAACGCTCGCAAGGAACACAAGCAAAAAGGTTAGGAGAAAAAACGCGCGAAACACTAACACGGGGCGGCAGCGCGCAGGCAGAGACGCGCAGTAGCGCGCAAGTAAGTGTCCGCAAAATACTTAAACTAAAGCAGCATTGCGGGTAGGAAAAAACTTAAAAAGGGTATAAAACTAAAAATCGGACGCATCGCACAAAATAATCGATACGTGATCATGGCTTGACGAGCCGCTAACATGTCATATATGGGCATAATAGAGTGCTGGCCATCAGCAAGTCGTCATCGCGCTTTCGAATGCCGCGCCACAACAACATGGCATCATCAACGTCGTCATAATCATCTCCAAATGTGCGCACGCGTCCCTTGAGTGGCGGGCGATAACGCGACGCGTTCACAACACTTGCCACCATACTCATTACATGGCAGCGCTCAAGCTGCAGCCACACACCAACGGCGGTGTTATCAACGCGCATTGTGCGGTCCACCGGCCGCGTAGTCATGTTTTCGGTGCTAATTTCATCACTTGCTCGGAATTTGAGGAATTCTTGACAAGTTCCAAATACCGACGGACTTCGTCGATCAACTTATTGTCATTGTATGGCAGTTGGCCGGGATCGGCACACATACACAGCAACGCGTTGTGACGCGCAAACCTGCGAAATAAAAAAATGCGTCAACGTATCAACCGCGCGTCCACCTAAATCGCCTGGCGTAGGGCAATCCATATTGGCAGCAGCTCGTTCGCTGTTCAGATGCGAGTAATTTAGTAATTCCTGCGATGTAGAAGCTTTTATGTACAATTTGACATTTTATCTGATCGCAAGAACTGCTCACATTTTAACACTTTTTTACCAATTGCAAGCAGCAGCAACAAGTCTAGCGGCTGACGCTTGGTTGTTTAGTTGTTTGGCTGTTGGCTGCTAGTTATTGGCTCGCTGTTGCATTGCTGGATTGCCGCATTTGTCGCATGAATGATCTGTGCAATGCGAACGTTGCAAATACCTCGGCTTGATGCGTCGCAGTCGTGCAAGTCACTTCAAGTCGGTTCAATTCGGTTAAGGCAGACAAATGTGCAATGCTTGAGATTTTATGTACCTTTTAGTATAAGAAATGTTTTGATTTCGGATTGCATAAGCATTAACAGACAGTTTTTTTAAGCCTGGCTTTGTGATTTCTAAAACCAGTAGCAGAAAGCTTACACTTTTAATTTGGCATATAAAAAGTCATCAACAAAATAAGTTAATATTTGAAGTTGAATATCGGGCTATAACAGGTTATCATTTTATGAGCTTTAGGAACTATTAAGATTGAATACCGAGTTTAAATTATGTAGGTAGGTTAATCTCAATATATACTTTGAAGACCTTAAATTCTAAAGTGACGTTACTGTTCTCATAGATGTTGTTGTTATTGCAACGGAAAGAGAACGATCTTCGGATACGTTCTGACTCTCATAGGAACGGTACTTCGACATGCTGTTGGAGACCTTATTGTGAATTTGACCAGGCTTTACTTGAAGACTGAAGCACAATTTGTTCAAATGGGTACATTAATAAACCAAATTGTAGTATTTGGAGTGATGATAATCCACAAACCATTGTTGAGACGCCGTTACATTCTCATAAAGTTACTGTTTGGCGAGCTCTACGCGCAATTCCCACTGCCATATTTCTTCAAAAATAAAGCCAACCATTATGTTACATGGAGAGCTCTATAGAGCCATGACTAATGGCTTGCCTGAATTGTAGGATGTCGATGTGGTTCCAAAAAGACGGCACTATATGCCATACAACGAACGAAATAATCAATTTATTAAAGGAAACATTTGGTGAGCGCATCATCTTGCGTTGTGAGCCTGCGGTGTGGCGAGCTGGACTAAATTTTGTGAAGTTATGTGAAGTCGTTTGTCTATGTAGATAATCCCGAGACTTACGAGTAGTTAAACTTTCTAATACAGCTCAATTATTTCGGGGATATGCAAAGAAACCCATTAGGAAAAACATATTAAAATTATTAAGAGATTTCGAAGCAAGGTTTACGTTTAGATATAATCGAAGAATAAATATTTTCATTGAATTATGGAAGTATATACTAAGTGAAACTGAGAGCGGTCCCGCGTAAAATTTTTGTCTTGAGTTCTGCCGAATGTTTACAAAGGGAGCTTTCCAAAATTATTTTAAAAAAGTGTATAAGCGTAACATAACCAACTTCGAGATAAATTAAAGAGAAACAAGTCTTTCAGTGAGGTACATTGTCAATTCCTACGATTGGCAATCTTCTGCAATTTTCAACTATCAAAAGTATATATTTATCAAAACAACAAAACTCTTTTTCAAATTTGGATTAATAAACAACTGTTAAATATGATGATCCTTAAGTTTTAATTCATTCTATAAATTTCGTTATAATTCTCACCAAGTTTATTATAAAATCATTTCAACAAATTCGTGTTTCAGTTGCTTCATTTATCTTAATTGACAACGAATGACCATAGATAACTTGTATATTCGCCATTCACTTAACTAGCTAACATTACTCTTTGGTCTTTGTCAGTCCTACAAGTTTAAGAAGCTTTGTGAAGTGCAATCAAATATTTAATTTGTGATTAAGGGGAGTCCTGTGCTTGGCTATCACTAGTTGGATCGTGGGTTTAAGCCTCGGCAAATTTGGTATTCATTTCTAGAGTTACCTACAACATCAAAACTGATATCTCACTTGAAGTTATTGCACAAGAAACTTACATGCATAAAAACATTTTGGGATTAAGATCTCGTTGCGCAAATGAATTATTCCTCGATTAATTTTCTAGAGCGTAAGTGTTATATACTAATATTCCACATAGTAATAAATATATATTTCACACTGATTAAGCGACGAGTTGAATGAAACCAGCAAATTTATTTATGGCAACAGGTCGTTTGATTTATTGTCTAAACGAAAACTCGCCACTCTAATTTTAATCAGCTGCTCACTGGTCGATTGGACAGCATTGCTGCTACCGCAGCCGCTAACGTTGCGAAACGTGAACATTCGTGCACATGCTGGGCAAACTTACTGCCTTTACCTCTAATGTGTGGCAATGCAATGCATATTTCACACTTGCCACAAATATTGCAGGCGCGCGCTACTGTCGGTTGTACGAATGTAAGTAAGCGTTAAGTAGGCGTCCGCGCGCCATTATTACGCGCTTAAGACGCACCTTGTTTTATTTATTTATTTCTCATGCTGTTTTTCTTGCTTGCCCAGCCAATTTGTTGCTGCAACATGTTTGGTCAATTGTTGTACACAAGTATTCCTTGATTTATGCCGCGTACGAGCGTCATAGTTACCATGGTCATAGCGCTGGTTCTAACTGACCCACCAGTCGGCCAACTGACTAAACGACTGAACGTATGGTAGAATGGTGTGCTGCCGGTTCCGCATTGTATGGTCACAGTACGCACATGGAGCGCCGCATCTACACGCTTATGGTATGAACGCCAAGTTCATGCAGTTGGTGGATGATTTATCCGCGCGTTCATGCGCAAGCGCGCACGCCTGCATGTGAAAAGAAAATATAAAACGAAGTTTAGCGCACTCTTACTGCTCTTCACTCGCTATGCGGAATGCTCATTTCACTGAATCGTTAAATCGGCTTAAGCGGCAACAACAACCCAGCTGTTGTGATTGGCAGAGCAAATGAAAAAAGTTGACTCTTGCCACAGCGGTAGTGGCAGTGGTGGCGCAGCAACGGTAGCCACGCGCGATCAACAACGGTTGTTGTAATCGTTTCGCCACTGACAAGCTTACACGCATCCAGCAGCCAGCAGCCGCCAACTACCAGACGTTGCATTCGCATTGCGAAGTCGATTGTTGCGCTGCGCACAAGTGATGATCGCACCGGAATTCAATTGATAGTTTGATTTATTGCTACCGGTAATTTTTTCGGCTCGTCAGCATCGCGCGCACTCAACGCTTTGGCAACCGTGTGCAACATCACCGCAGCGCGTGTATGTGTGTGAGTTGAGTACCCGCACTAAGCCTCAGCGTAGACGCGCATCGTTACCGTCGTACGTTTGCAGTTACAAATGCAACGTAATGGCAACGAGCGTGTGCAACGTCAGCAACGTCATGATCGTTTAGCGGTGATCTCGTTCATACGTTTTGAGTTTTTGCGCTTCTGGTGTTTATGCCACATTGCGCTGCTACTTCATGGATTTCCAGTTTATGTTCTTCTCCTACCGTACGCTCTGTGTATGACGCTGATTCTAGTGTGACCATCTCTATGGCAAGCTGCATGCTACATCTTTGAAGGGGCAATATTTAATGGCTTGTCTTTTCTACTGTTGCAGTGGCTGTCATCAGTGTCGAAAGTTTGCGCTGCTATTTCAAATTGGCATGAATGTTTTGAATATTTTAGAATATTATTAAGGCAATATCTTTTGGCGAATATAATAGGAGTTTGAATTGATTTTTTGATAGCGGTGAAATTTAAAGATATTCCAATATGTAATGTGTTTTTTTTTAATTGGAAGATTATGTTTCAAAGATCTTATTTGGTTCTCATCTCTTGCGTGGACCTTGTAAAAGTGCTTCATATATGTCCTAATATATGTTTTTAAGAGAAAGAAAACTGCTGTCTCTTTCTTATCCTGTGCTTCATTGAGAGCTGGGTTCCTGGTAGTCT